GACCGTTTCTCCTCCCTTCAACTTAAAAAGCTTCGTAGAGAGAAGGAAAAGCTATATAAAATGAAAGATAAAGGTGGCGTAAAAAGAACTAACTTCCTTATCAAGTCTGAAATGCAGAGATCGAATGTTATATATAACCAGAAATTCATATCCTGCAAAAATGCTTCAAATATGTGGAAACTATTTAAGGAAATTACTGGTGGTAAGCAGATAAACAATATTCCGTATTCTTCTGATGTATGTACGGGGTGCCATCGACAATAATGCATCTCATCCAACAGCTATATGACAATGCTGTATGTCAAGTAATCCACAATGGGAAACTTACGGAACCCTTCGAAGTGAGGACAGAAATAAGACAAGCCTGCCTGCTAGCACCAATGATTTTCCTGATTGCAGTAGACTGGATAATGCGACAAACAGTGGGCAATGAGGAAACAGGCATAAAATGGACACACACAAAAAACTTGGAGGATCTGGACTTCGCCGATGATATATGTCTGATTTCCCACAAACTGGAAGATATGCAAATGAAAAGCAACAAGTTGGCAGAAGAAGCATTCAGAGAAGATAGGACTTCAGGTGAACATAGATAAAACAGAGGTGATGAAAATTCCCGGGCAACACCACCAACAGCAGCAACAACAACAACTGACAACAATCAGCATAAATGGGAGGAACCTGAAAGAAACAACCTCTTTTACCTACCGACCTGGGAAGCATCGTTTCAACTACAGGCCGACGGAACTGACGAGGATATCAAAGCAAGGATCGGAAAAGCAAGACAAGCTTTCACTACTCTCAAGTCTGTGTGGAGGTCAACAACACTCAGCTTCAAAAATAAGATCCGGATTTTCAACTCCAATGTGACGTCAGTGCTACTATACGGATCAGAGACTTGGCGCGTCATAAAGAGCATCTCAAACAAACTACAGACCTTCATTAACAGTTGTCTTCGCTCAATACTCAAGATCAGATGGCTGGCCAGAAACGATCAGCAACAGGGATCTCTGGCAATGAACGAACCAACACAGCAGGAACCGATTGTGAAACAAATACGCAGGAAGAAATGGAGATGGATTGGCCATACTCTTAGGAAACCATCAAGTGACATCACTAGACAAGCCATCGCTCGAGTGGAACCCAAAAGGGGAGCGGCGAGTTGGTCGTCAGTGCAAGGGTGACTTGGAGGAGGTCATGTGAAGAGGAGATGAAAACGTGTGGGCAGACTTGGAGCCAGGTGAAGACCCTAGCAGAGAACAGAACGCAATGGAGACGCACGGCTGAGGCCCAATGTTCCTGTAGGAATTAAAGGACACAATAATAATAAATAATAATATTGTACTCTTAATAAATCTTTTATTTATTCTCCCTCAAATTCCATGCTTCCCAGTATCACTAGTGTTAATAATTGCCCCTTTCCAGGTTTTAACACAAATGATTTTCAAAAGTGCCTCAAGTCTCTGAACCCTTCCCAGAGCTTAGGTCCAGATCATGTACCTAGTATTATTTTCAAAAAATGTTCTGATATTCTGTGTTACCCTCTCACTGATCTGTTTAACAAATCTTTTTCCAGTAATATTGTGCCTGCTGTTTACAAAGACATTCAAGTTGTACCCATACCTAAATCGTCTACTGGAGCATGTGTCAAATTTAGACCCATTGCTGTTACCTCTCCTTTTTTGAAAACTATACAGAAACTACTTTTACTTGGCCTTGTTCCCTCTCTTAAATCCTTTAATGACCCAAAACAGTTTGCCTATAAGCACAGTAGAGGCACTTTAGATGCAGCTGCCGTCTTATATCATAACATTGCTTCCAGTCTAGACAAAGGGGCTAAGTTTGTTCGTTGTGCCTTCCTAGACTATACATCTGCTTTTGACTCGGTCCCTAGGGACATCTTATCAAATAAACCGGCTGCAAGTCAAACAGAATGTTGGGCTGTTAACTGGTTACATCGCTATTGTTCAGTAAGAAAGCAGTACACCGTGTATAAAGGGAAGTCTACCACTTCATCACCTACCTACTGAATCTGGTGTCCCTGAAGGCGTGTGTGGTGTCCTTTCTCCTTTTCTTTTTTCTTTCTTCTTACATGACTTGTCTCACTCTGATGAAATAAACTTTGTGAAGTACGCTGATGATTCAACTGTTTCAATGGCTGTTAACTCCCAGCTAGATTGTACCAAAATAAATAGGTTTCTGTCGGGAGTCAGTAAATGGTCTGAGTCTAACGGTCTTAAACTGAATCATTCTAAATGTCAAACTGTTAATTTCAGCGTAAGATGTAGACGACAGTTAAAAGAAGCCGTCGATTCTCATGAGAGTTGTAAGATTGATGACAATGATATAGGAATTAAATCAGAAATTAGGTATCTTAAACTTATTCTCTCTTCTCATCTCTCCTGGTCTTCCCATGTCTCAGCGATCTCCAGTAAAATATTCCGCCCGACATTTGACATTCACAAGAAGTTAAGGCACTCGGGTATAACTCAACCCCTCCTCTTACAGTTCATAAACTCTTGCATCCTACCTATTCTTCTTTATTGTTCACCCTTATTCTTTCCTGGTTTACTTAAAAAGGACTTTGTCACAATTCGTAGAATGCTGAAGACTGTCAGTAGGATGAGTGGTGTCCTAGTGGACTACATAGTTAACGTCGTTGTCGATAGCCACTTGACTTCGTGCAATAAATTTGCTAAAGGGATTTTGTCTGACTTGGAGCATCCACTTCACCCTCAGCTTTCACCTTGCATCTCCTCAGCTAGAACAAGAAGTAACTTCAGAAAACTGTATGCTCGCACGTCTAAGTATAAAATTTCTATGATACCATACTTGGCACATATTTTATGTGATGAAAATAGCGTCAGGAAAGAATTGACTAACCTTTTTTCACCTAGTAAATAAACAATTTCCTCCATCCATCCATCCATCCTTATATACCTTCAAGTTTTACTTTAATTATTTCTATTATATTTATGGTCCTGTTGATTCTTTGTTTTACTTTCATAACTGCAAACACCAACTTATCTCTATGACTGCTGTAATCTTTCTCTTTTCCCTCACCATATCATGTAAAGAGAACATTATATTCAATATTTTTAATCATGCAAGGATTTGTATACCGCATCGACAATACTGTGTGAAACAAGCCCACGGCAATTTCCACTTGTATTATTATCATTACCTAAGCTGCTATCATTATTATTATTTCCATTTTATATGCTGCATGCTTTTTTATTTTTTAAATATCTTTTTATATTAACCCTATTGTAAATGTAGAAAAATTTTCTGTGTGATTAATTTTATTTATAATTTGAGGAAATTAGATGCAATATTGTGATTAATGCTGAAAATTCCATTCTGTATCACAAGTACTGTTTTTGGAATAAAGTAAATCATTAATATTATTATTAATTATTTCTGTGTACAAATAATTACTCAGCGTACTAGTACAGTGAAATTTGTTTTCTCAGTCTTTTGTATCTTTCACACTGGAATGTGAAAGTGAGGAGCACGTGTGACCTTGAGTGGAATCCGATCAACAGGTCACAAATCATACGTGAAAAATCAAAAATAGAACAGTAATAATAGTAATGAAAACAACCCCAGCCAATTCTCATGCTACTCACTACAAATTTTCATTCTTCAGTGATAAGATGTAAAAGTAGTATGTACAGCAGCATATAGAGTGGAAGAAGGAAACTGCTGATTCTGCGCGTACACACAATCATGGGCAAAGTCTGTGAACAAACGTCAACTCATCAAATGTACAATGTGATACTTCTGATCGTTTTTCTCCAGTCCTCTACAAATCAGGACACAATTAAGCATCTGTTGACATTATTGTCTCCCGCCAAGTGGAGACAAACAAACCATTCAATGCTGACCAACACGATAACCTCGTCCGTATAATCTATTGAAACTTTCACCACCTTGTTTGAAAATAAAGATGCTGCATTGGAAAAAGACACCATTCAGCCTAGTTAATCAACAAGGCACCATTGTAGTAAGAATTATTTTTCTGCGTATCCCACATTCAGAATCTACTCCTCGCTGAACTGCCTAATGGTTTCTTAGTATTTTTTTTACTAAACAGAATACTTTTACATGCACAACTTCCTCGTAAACATATCCAATTCCTCATGAACACGTGTTTTGCAGAAAGGGGGAGATCATAAGTATGAAATAACCACTCACCCTCACATGATTAATAGTTCCAACCTTGTAACTATCAGTCCAATGTGATTTTAAATTGTTTGGAAAATTCCTCCTTCCTGAACGGTCCATATATAATATTTACACTTAAATGAATGTTTCAACTATGTAACTATTATAGGTGTTTCGCCTAGATTGTGTGTCCATCATTTCTTTGGCATTTGCACATCAAATGTTCATTTTTGACCGATATATTTTTCGCCATTATCCTGGCTAAACCTTTATTTGTTTTACTTTGCTTTGTGATAGCGTGCACATTGACAGTCTACTGTTAAACGATATGCGTTTGCTTGAGTGAATGAACGCCTTTCTAACTCCTCATAACTATCTTCTGCGAGGGTTGGTGTGTAATTCTTATGGACAGAGGTTAAACGTTGAATATTCTCTTCTCGATCATAAGATACATTTCACAGTTTATCTTTGGCTAACTGATTTGACTTGCAGTACCTGTTTTGTGTTTAGAAACATACACAGATGATGTGGCTGCCTCACGGTACTATTTAGGTGACTTTGAGGTTTGGTATTAACACTGTTTAATAGAACCGCCAGAATATCGAAGAAAAATCATTCCCTCTCTGTCTATAGAAGGTCACGTGATCGCGCCTGTCTCAATCAATTTTTGTCAGCTATACAGTAGAATGCAGCGATTGGTTTCTTGCGAACAGAAAGTTACCAATTGAATTTGCGCTTCACATCCACCCACATGCTCACCAATGCAGACTACCATATATATAAATGAACTAAATTCTAATTGGTTAAGTGAAATTAATTCCATTGGTTAAACTGTCTTCTTGAGAGGTATAAATACGTGCTTCTTGACTATGTGGTAATGTCACCACTTAGATAACTTTGATAAGGATGGTAAGTTGATGAATAATATGTTAATGTTCAACACATTTTTTCAGATTGGCTATCTTCTTCTGCTTACAGCACTTGCGATTTCAGTCGTTGACAGTACATATATAAACCGGAATCATCTGTCGAAAGCCGGAGAAATTCATCATTCTTCTGGTCAAAGTGAGTTATGATTTGCTTTTATAAAGTATTTCTAGCATCTTACATACTACTACAGTTTTATTTTACACTGGAGTTAGTGTTTGCTTGTGCAACTTGTGGCCTATCCAGTGATTCGCGCTTTACCAGATGCATGTGTATGTCTATGCTTATACGTATCTGTGTTTGAGTAGATTTCTGTGCAACGATGTTTGATGTGATGATGATGATGATGCAAACTCTTTGCGTGTGGTGTCGTTTCGTCTATTAATTGCCATGCTTGTATCAGACGTTTAACCGTGCAAGCTCAGCGACATGTCGGCGACAATATGCAGTTAAAATTTTTAAAAGGCAACCTAAAATGTTTGTTCCACATTCTCAGGGTTATTAAGTATCGGAAATTGAATTAGGTATCTATCCAGTACATAAATTCATTCATACTAGTTAGCATAATTCAAAATACTACTTCATTCTGATGACGTATTTTACTTCTTCTTCTTCTTCCCATTTTCTAGAGGTACACAAAAAACATGACGGTGAACAGATTCAGTCCGGTAGTGAGACAAGTCATATTGGAAAGCGGGCGTTGTGGAAAAAAGTTTTGTGCAATATAAGTCCACTTTGTTTATTTTTTAAAGGGATTAAAGGAAACTGATCACTGCTTGTTTCCGTTTTTCACATATTCACATAAATATTTTGAACGATATCTTCATGTGTTTTAATTTGACCATGCATTTTAATCATCAGAGTCATGACTGTACTTTCATGTCCTGACACTCCATTTCAAATACTGTCGAGGTGTTTTAGGTGTAAGTAATCATAAGGCGCCTTGATGCAGTCAGTAGCTAGTCATGAATTAGATTTATTTGACATTGTTCTTTCACACACACACAAACTAATGTGTATTCCGCTTAGTGTGTACATGACATGACATGACATGACAATGACGTTGTCAAGAAGACAACACACAAAGTGTGAATCAACATTATGCAATCAATTTCAGACCAAAAAATTCACAAGGTGAATCAAAATGTTGGTAAGAAAAGTAGTCGGCATATTGAAGAAGAAGAAGAATAGGAAGAAGAACAAGTGATGTACTACAGATAGTTTCACCCTGGAATAAGCATGTTCACGAAGAAGAAATAAAGTATACCTGCATTCATGTGAACAACCACCTGTTCAGATGCACAACAATGTGTGGAATATCTTATACACATACACTGTGATTCGCAAGATCGAATCAATCAGAGAAATTTACTGAAAGATGTCTGCATTCCAATGAGGCTACATTTCATTTCGAATATAAGAGATTCAAGCAAGTGAAATTTCGTTCAAATAGTAAATGCATAAGTACAATGCATAATGTGACTGACCTCTCAGTAAGTCAACTGAATACTAGCACTATTTTGCACCGGAAACACACACACACAGCTGAACTGTCAATAGCATCTTTGTGTTGATGCTACGGACACACGCACACACAAACAAACACACTCAGAAAGAGCAGCTCATCACCAAACATACGGTAAATTACTACTAATGATACTAATTCCAACAATGACATCATTAAAGCTCAAAGTTCCGTGTCACAGCATGTCTAGCTGAATTACAAAACATTCCAACTTTTCTTCACGATGATAAATTTGTGCATAGCGGATATCTGTGTTCAAGTTGTTAATATGTCAGCTGCGTTTTTAGTGTATCTCTACTCTTTTGAAAGATACTTAAGATAGACATAGGATTTCTCTACATTGTGATTCTACGTTCTTTAGATTGAAGTCAGCAGTTTATTTAAACCGAACATCAACTTATTCGTGACATCCACACATCGGTATTATCAACACTCTGATTCAGCGCTTTGAAAGCATTGCAAAGTGAAAGGATAGTGAGTAATCAATAAGGCATTTTAAGTATACGCGCTTAAAGCAAATGCATTCTACTCAGTTGTCTATGCTTTTGCGCATTTCATAATATATCAGTGTCAAATAACAAAAATAATATCTGTGTTTATTCATTTCTCACCTGTCATATGTTATTGTCTCTCTTATGTTCAAATCTAACACTACTACATGTCACTAGTAGGAATGTAGGTAGTATGAAGTTCATTATGTTGATACTCCCTCAAAATAACCGCTTTTAGCTATCAACACTACACCAAGCGTTCAAGCTGCAGCTTCCATGGATATGCGCTATCACTGATCTAGAGGTGGTTTAGAGAAATATCTGTGAAAATGGTAGGAAAAGACAAGGAAATCGTATGAGGGATGCACAAAGTGAATATAGACTTCAAGCATGCTTGAAGTTTCTGTAGCAGTGGTGTTTATTTTACAGGATGGGTTACTAGCTACTTTCAAATTGAACAACTATTATTGGTATATAAATAACACTAAGTAACACACAAAATAGCACTATTATTTAACTAACCCTGAAATGTTAGTTTGTGGTCCAGAGATTTCATTGTGCTTTCCCTGACAAGTAGTGTAGATGTGTGGACCTGATGAATGGTGTTTCACAAAAGGCATGAAAATGGCCCATGAATGTCATGAATGTGTCAGTGTCAGTGTCAGTTGGTATCTCATTGAAAGTAGTGCAGCTAATCGGCACAGGCTGAAGTACCTTTCAACTATTTCTTTTGACTCTACTGACTTTCAAGTAGCGAGTGTTCGTTATGAGTTAGTCATAATACAAACATCGGAATCAAGGTTATCCTGCAATCAGTTGGGAAGCAACTAACCACTGATCCTGAACTCGCTCATTAGAAATGATCGCCATTTGTAGGAACTCAATTGGTGTATCTCACGGTCAGTATCTTGAATTTCCGTGTGATGACAAGTGCGAGCAGGAGAAGTGGCAACGAGATCAAGTCTATGCACAAACGAAGCAGATGGCTCCTTGGATTGATTAGAAAATTTGTCTCTTCATACATCTAATAACATTCCATCGCAACTACATTTAATTAGTGGTTAGTCAGCTTTTTCTGTTAACACTACTTCACCATGCGAGTATCAACCTACGATCAGTTCAGTGGATCAAACTGAAGCTGAAACTATCCCTTGACATACGCACTGTAAGAGGCTTTTTCAGTTTCACAGCCATTACTGTACCCCAGTGGTAACGAAATAGTTTGTTTCTGACTAAAATCAGTCAACATATTGTAAAAGTGACTTGTCGATTGCAGATAGAAATATCTTTTCCGTGCGTTTTACTTTATTTTGTGACTTAATATATACAGCGGTTTATGAGGGCTACCTCCACACCTATCTCAAAGTAACGCTTTTAACGACAAGTTTAGTAATGAAGGCATGACCTCAGGAGAACTTAGTAAACATCACACCGAACGAAGAGAAACAAACACTTCCAATCATGAATGGAAGCAAAGCAACGTCAAGTTAATCGCAGCATTCATAGTTGTCCGAAAAACAATCTGTGCTGGACATTAAACAACGAACACTACTCATGCAAGAAACCTTGAATTCCAGCGGTTTCCAAATAACCCACGTCTCCTTGTTTAACGAAATAAACGGTGATATGTTGAAAGGTGATTCGACCTTGAAAATGGTATTATTCCATAGGCGTATATCAAAATTTTATTGAATGGCAACCTTATCAGAACTGATGATGTGTAGATGTTTGTGCCAGAACACAAACCACAGTTTGGTGAACACGGTTTATAGTTTCTTTAAATTTATATTTGGTATCTTCTTGAACTAACACAAGCGTAGACTTAAGTGAAACAACCAGTACATTTGTGTTCACACAGCTGTAGAATACATCAAGTAGGAACCTCTTGACTACATTCAAAGCATAAGTCCAGAACATATCTTAGATCCGATAAAAATTATCCACAAAAGTATTTTCGTTATTGGAGAAGCAATTAGTTATATTAGTCATCTTAGTGACATGTTCGATACAGCATTCACAATTTCATTTTCCTGGTGCCAGTATGGAAACTAAATTAAGTGAAATAAACAATTCGACCTTGTTAGGACTTACTTAGCATATCTGAACAATGATGAAGATATGAATATAGACATAATACAAAAACACGTTCACATGCATATAAACAAAAAATCACTGGTTTCGTGAGTGTTCATTACCAACCTTATTGAACCTCGAGTAATCGTGTTTCTGATCACACGTTCAAACTCTGAAACTCATTTAACTGAAATACAAGCGAAGTCATTCTGTATCTAAACCTATTAACTGTGCATTTACTTGATGATGCAATCACTAATATCACGAATTATCTTGAATGCTGCTTCGGCGTGTTTCGCCTGAGTCACATATTATTCAACAGACTTGATTATTTATCTTCGCCTCAACTCCAAATCTACGTCGAAGAAAAAAGCGGCTGTATAAGTCTAAGGACAGATGTGGTCCAGGCAGTATCAACATCTTGATTTAATCTGAAATCCGAGGAATGTACACTATTTATAACCGAAGCTATCATCTGTCATTATTTCTGTGCTGATTAAAATACTCCTGACAAATATGTCAGACGCTGTCCTAATGACGCTTTCATTCATAATGTTACAAAGCATAAAGTGAAATTACTTCTACATTTTTGATACTAATCGGAAATGTTTGAAATATCTTAAACCCTCTCAAAGCGCAGCGCATGATGGCGTAACTGGTGATGTCTACAGAAGATGCACTGACATTCTGCCTTGCTGAATCACCAAGATTTCTGGTATTCACACTATGTTTAGTCCGATTGAAAATACATCCATTTTTTTGAAATTCATGAAGTTCAAATACATGCTTCTCGATTGTGCAGTACTGTCTCTACCTACGCTTAGCCAATTTAACTTAGCTTATTTTGATAAGGATGGGAAGTTGAAGAATATTTTGATGTGTAGCACATGTTCTGATTGGCTATCTTCTTCTTCTTACAGCAATTGCCATTTCAGTCGTTGACAGCACATATATAAACCGGAAGCATATGTCAAAAGCCGGTGGACTTCTTCATTCTTCTTCTGATTAAGGTGAGAAATGACTGATTTTCACATTTTTGATTCTGTCATCTAGTATGTGACAGTCTGTTTGACAATGTAGTCATTGGTTGGTTGCGCGAAATCTCTTCTGAACAGTTATTTCCGCTGCAGCAGATGCATGTGTACATCGGTGATATATGTGTGTGGATGCCTGCGAGAAAAATCATCATAGATGATGTTGATGATGCAATCACGTGTAGCTTGTGGTGTGGTTTCGCCTGTGAAACGATATGTAGGCTTAGCGGCATGTCGACGACAATAATCAGTCGACATTTTCAAAGGCAACTTGAAATTTTTGTTTCATATTCTGTGAGCAATTGGCATATCGAATAACGTTGATTAACGTGTTCTTTCAGGGAACCTTATCCTCTGCATTAGCGCACTTCACAATGACACCGGATTCTGACCACGCATTCCTTTTCTCTCATTTTTGCAGATGTAAACAGCAAACATGTCAGTGAACGGATTGTGTCCAGTGGTGGGAGAAATAATTTTGTGGAATTTTGTGGAATCTGTGGCTATATGCAATATGTATTTAGTTAACGTCGACTAGACATGTGCTCCAATGTTCTCTCACATACAAAATATCATTGCCCCCTTAGGATAAATGAGATGACTGTGACCTTGTCGAGAAACTAACATATCAAATATGAATCAGCATTATGCTACTTCTAGCTCAGGTAACTTCACCATGAAACAAACAAGTTCACGA